GAAATTTGATTATATTAGAACAAGAAATGTCATTTTATAGTGTTTTTTTGCAAGGGGAAACGGATTACAACAAAACAACCGGATCTGGATCACATCGTTTTACCTGAGGCTTCCTCACGAAAATGATGAAAATGTATCTGCGGCCTAGGCGGCGCAGGGGGGGCGCGCACCAGGGGGCCCAACAATAATTATTCTTTAGAATAAATAATGTTCAACAACAACAACAACAACAACAGTCATTTAAGACTGGGGACACTCCGTTCTCACCAGTGCCAGGGTTTTCATAGGAGGCGGGCAATACCCCCACTTTGTGGGGGGGCCGGTTCAAGCTCTACCAAGTTTCCAAACGACTCTTCGCCACCACCCACACCCAGCTTCCCGCCCTATGACGTTCGGACACTTCACTTCGTGGCCTGCGGACGACCTTGGCTACTAATCAGGGCCCCGCGGCCGACGACGACGGCGTGCGCGCGCGAAGAAAAAACGAATGTGTCCCGCATGGTATTATTTGACAGGGATGATGGCCCTGGCAGGTGCGCAACCGTTGTCGCAGAAGTTCGAAAAAGTTGCTCGCAAAAGCCCGTTTGACAGAAATGTTTAAAAAGTGTTGGTTTCCTACGAATCCGCAAGAGCGCGCGGGATGAGATTTTGACATTTGTTTGTTGAAAAACCATTGGTTTTTTGACGTTTTTATGTTAAAATCGCTCCGAACACTAAGCTTTTGGAAGGATTTCGTCTTGCGCGCGCGAATGTCCACTTTACCTTATTTTTTGCAAAGGATTCTTGAAATTTGATTATATAAGAACAAGAAATGTCATTTTATAGTGTTTTTTGCAAGGGAAAGCGGGGGGGAACAAAACAACCGGATCTTGATCACATCGAATTACCTGAGGCTTCCTCACGAAAATGATGAAAATGTAGCTGCGGCCTAGGCGGCGCAGGGGGGCCGTGCACCAGGGGTCCCAACAATAATTATTCTTGAGAATTAATAATGTTCAACAACAACGTTGTGTCCGAGGGTCTTCGGTCGGTGGACAAATTTGCTCTTGGAGTCTGCCGTGGGGGTCGGCGTCAGGGCTTCGGTCTATGATGCTCCGAGGCTCGATCTCGGTACTGCTTGCATCCGTTGCGAGTTGTGTTGTTGTAAAGGACAGTTCTGGAGATTGCGCAAGGGTTGTTCGTTCCCTGGCTTCGGTGCGCAGGGGAGACAGCACGCCTGGAAAGGTATCTTTCAAGGTCGCCACCCCAAGATGCTCGGCGTCACGGTGGACGTCGGTCCATAGGCTTTAGGAGGGGGAGGAGGAGGAGGAGGAGGAGGAGGAGGAGGAGGAGAAAGAGGAGAAAGAGGACGAGGAGGAGGAGAAAGAGGACGAGGAGGAGGAGGAGGAGGAGGAGGACGAGGAGGACGAGGAGGACCCCTCTTTACCTCTTGAGCCTCCTCATCCAGCCTCGGGGGTGGATTCAGAGGATGCCCGTGCGCTGCGCGTCGTGCGCGTCGTGCCGTCCGCCTTCACGGCGCAACCTCGGGTTTTCATGTGATTGCCGCAGCCCCCAACGACGACTCGGGTTCTGACTAATCACTCTCCTTTTCCCTTGCGGGCCTCGCGGCCTCTGTGGGGCGGGCCAGCCGGCCCAGCCCCGCGGAGGTCGCGGCCGAGGCCGCCAACGCAGCGCCACCCAGAAAGGGGGGTGGTACGTCCCCCGAGGTGGTCGTCCGGGTTGGGCCACAGCTCAAGGAGGACCGCTACGCAGGGGTGCCCACCCCCAACGCCCGAATGGACCCCAACCACTACTTCGACCAAGGCCCCAAGATGGAGTGGATCCAGGGACCTCCAGGAAGAGCGCACGGACCCGGAGAAGCGCGCGGACCTTCGGGAGGAGCGCGCCGACCCCCAGGAGGATGGAGGATGGGACGCCCCGCGGGTAAACCCCACGGAGGGAAGATTGCGGGCGGAGGTTGGAGGGTCGTGAACCCGTGGGCGGGGTTTTCGACCCTCAGGACGGAATCTTGCCCGGCTATATGCAGGGTCTGGCGGCCCGCAAAATCGGGCACTGCCACTGGGGGGCAGCTGGACTCTGCTACCACCCACGGTACGCATTCCCTGTGGATCTCGACCAGAGCATCTGCGCCAAAGTAAGGATGACGGTGGGGTACCAACGGAACCCGTGGGAGGAGCCCGGGAACCAACAAAACCTTTTGGGGGAGCTCACTAATAAGCGGAGCCACCCGATGGCACCCGCTGCGTGGCGGGGCTCATTCTCGAGCCCGCCGGTGCTCGTTCGGTGCCGGTCTGGTTTGCAAGCCGGCCCGGGGAGGGCCCGCCTCGGCGCCGGCCTGGTGCATGCTCGCTCTGCCCTTGGCACCTTTGCGTTTGCGCGTGGGATGCACGCGGTCAGTCCCGTGTCCCGCGCCGCATTGTTTTTTAAGGGATGGGGGTCGAACCCGGGCGGGATGCGGACTCATCCTGAGCGTCCGCCACAAACGTCCGCTCCCCCGCTC